TTCGAGTTCCTTTTCCTCTGCAGTCTCGAAGAAACTTCGTGCATGCCATACCTATCATCCGTTCTCCTTCTCCTCCCCCTGTTCTCTCTCTCTCTCTCTCTCTCTCTCTCTCTTTCGGTTGGTCTTCTTCTTTCTTCGCGCTTGGTCTCTGTTTCTCGACGTATCTCACGATCGTCGAGTCATCGTGTAATGACGTGCCGGCTGTCAGACCGCGAGGCGAGGCAGCACAATTCGAGCCACGAAACGATCGGTGTGCGGCATCGTCGAGAAGACGAGGGATGAAAATGTGGTCGTAACGGAGATGGAAAGAGGATCGAGAGGAAGAAAAGAAGATGAAGAACTTTGGTGGAGAAAAAAGACAAAAATCATCGAAGCGGAGGAAAAAGAAGAAATGCATTTTTCTATCCTTTTTGTAATTTGAAAAGTATTTCTTGCCTTAACAAGCTCAATAAGCTCCTTTGATTCCTGGCTATTTTATGTTAAAACCTGCAGTATTGAATTGCTCGTTCAAACAGCATACATATTTCGATGAATGACAATTGACAAACAAATTATTCGCGCAGATGTACGTCTGTGAACGCCATTAGATCGAGGAGCATTACCAATACGAAGGGATCGTCGAGCCTTTGAGCTTCACGAATACTTTCAATCGTAAATTGATAATAAAATTAGACGAAAACTACGGTTACATGTTCTGGCGAACAGGTTTACGCGATAACGTGGCATAATTAACCGTGCCTGGGAAGAAGGACGAAAACTCGTGAAACGGTGGGGGATCTAATTTCGTCGAGGATCCTGACACCCAGACGGACATGAACGCGAGGCGAACGTTATAGGCGATGTCCGTAATGGCGATGACGCGCGGACAATGGGTGCGTGGACATAAATACCGCGATCAGATCTCCGGACACGCCTCCGATTAAATTAGGAACGCTCCGAGTGGCAAAAAACGATTTAAGTGTTTAGACGCTCGAGTGGATCGTTCTCGGGTTTAAGGACGCTCCAGTGTTACTGACGGTGCCGCGGGACTATCGGAATCATCGTCGATCATTTTTAAAACGAGTGCTCCACTCGACGCTGGATCGAACATACTTCGCTCTGATCGCTGGCTGTTTAACTGTTTCTGTCAAAATGTTCGAAATCGAGCCACTCTTGAATGGAACTGCAAGTTGCTGGAGTGAGAGAGGTTGAACGAATGAAAGTGTCCAAAGAAAGGAAGATGGAGTTTCAGAGAAAGATGGACTGAACTTGAAGAAATTTGAAATTTGAGAAAATAAATGACAGCTTACACTCTATAGCCGTGTACATAGGTGATTGCCGGTTACGATTTGATTTTTCGATCGTAGAGTTAGCAATGATGAAATTGTGACTATACACGATTCAAAAAGTCCAAGATACGGCGGCCGTAAGCTGTGAATATGTACAACGAGATTAATTATCGAAACATGAATGGCAAAACAAGGAGTCGAAGGCGAATATATACTCGGAGCTTTATAAAGGACAACGTGAAATAATCAGACCTACTCCGCGCGTTTCTGGACGAAACGAAGCAGAAAACGAATCGGGCCACGACGCGGATGCGTCGCGAGGCAAGGAACAGAGTCGAGGAGTCAGGATAATTCGTGTGATCAAAGCGACCGACTCGTTGGCATCGTCTCACCTTTAATAAAGCTATCTGGCATCTCTAATATCTCTTCTCTGGTCGTCCCTCCAGATGGAGTGAGGAGGCGCGGCGAAGAACGAAGGAGAACGATGACGACTACGAGGAACATCTCTACGAGAGGATGCAGATAGAGAATGAGTAAGAACAGATGAAGAAGAAACAGAAGAAGAAGAAGGAAAAGGAGAAGGAACAGGAGAAAGAGGTAGGAGGGCGTCGAAGGCTACAAGGAACTCAGAACTCAGAATAAGAGGGAAGAAAAGGAAAGAGATCTCGAGGCTCTTTGCTCGAGACACCTTTCCACAACAAGGCCTTGTTCACCAGGAGAAAAGACACGTCAGCCATGTACGCACCTCGTCTCTTCGGGGCCATCGATACGACGACGTGGATCCCTTCTTTTCGTTCTCATGGCTGCGTCTTTCTTGCTTTTTTACTCCACCAGTCTCCACCTTATTATAGTTACCATTCGCAGCCGATGGTTATCGGCGGCCGCCGTCAATTAAGCAATTATCGACACCTTCGACTCGGTGTGCCGGTAAGGACTTCAAGATCACCGCGTTTGCTGGCTCATGGCCTCGAATATCGATCGTTCGGTCGATACAGCACCGCGTTCAGATCTCCGCTCTGTTTCGTACACGCGAAAAATTTTCTATCTTCCTTAAATAGCTTTCTAACAAGCTATTTCTCGTCTTTGGCTATGGTCAATTGAGGGTTTCATAGATTTTTGGTACACGGCTTCGAATATCGATCGAATCTTTGCGTTTGTTCAAAAGAATTTTTGATAAAACTTTGTTGCTTTGGTAACGTCCCGTCTGTAACTATTTATTCAGTTGGACAATTGACGTAAAGTTTCGTAGATTTTTTGCCTGTCGTACGCACGAATTTTCGACGTAATGTCTATTTTCGAGTTAGTTGGTCGATAATTCTTATCCTCGGCTACTGCCAATTAAGCAATTAACGTAGGGCCTCGCAGACCCCTGGAAAATGGACTTGGAAAGTCTTCGGAGATACTCCGCCGTAGTCTCAAAGATACGGAAACGTTTCTATGGACTTAATTGACCGTGGCGAAGGAGCATCGTGCGAGCCATTAGCGAACTTATCGAAGTCCACCGGGGTAGTCCATCAACAAACTCGTTAAGTTGATTAACCTCCGATGCACCCCGTGACTTCTTGCACAGCTAATAAATGGGGGATGTGTAGATAAAACCATGAAATATGAAGGGTTATTAATTTCACGGTTAACGATTGTCTGCGTCGGGTTAAAATAGATTACGCTACGCGCCCGGAGAGTAGGCCGATTTCTCTTTTTGTTTCCTCTAGGATTTGGGTTAACGCGTGTATTAATTTGAAAAAAAGAAATTAGACAAATTAGACGAGTTGTAGATTACGCAAATTCAAAAATGAAACACAATAGAATCGTGGTTGTTTCAACTATTTTATACATAGAATGGACTGTTTGATTATATTTCATATCATTGAGCACAATATTTTTTTACAATTTTTAAGATTATGAAAAACATAAAGCGTTATTCACTTCAAATTATTTTACAAACACCAGTACGAAATAACGTGAGATTTTTCCATCAGAAACGTACAGTCTCTATTTTTTTGCATTTCAGTGTTTTCTACAAACGTCCATTTAATGATCAAAATTCATGTTCAAAAGTATTTGCAATCGAGGTGGAATAGCGTATATACGAAACAAATCGAGAGAGAAGTTTCGTCGGGACATGCGCATAGATTTTACCGTCAGATACGGTGAATGAAACAACTATTAATAAACTGCAGAAAGCGGTGGAACGAAGAAGCTCGACAAATAAACGATCGGCGTACGGTTAATTGGTGCGACAGGGTTTCCTTAAATCAAAAACTGTCACCGGTACGATACGCGTATATATCAGATATCGATCTACTGTTATTTACGAGGCCAACCGGATCTTGTCAACGTAACAGCTTCCAGGATACCGGTGTCCTGATCACGTTCCGCATGTCCCCCGCCGTGTTGTCCTTACAGGACGCGTTTACGCCGGCCGTACACGCATATATGCGTGTAGCAATTTACTGGCCCGAAGAGGAGGCGTCGGGCTACATAAATCAGAAAGACAACGCGTCAGCTTATTAACCACCGACGATTTATTTCCGCCTGTTGGTACACGGACTTTCCACGCACCCATCCGCTTCGCTCCTCGCTCGACTGTTGCGACAAAATTGAAAAATTCCTATCGAACAAACGGTCGCGTCGGAATTTTTTTCCCCCGAAATTTACCGTCAAGAGGTAAAGAAGATTCTTCGTTTGACCTAACTTGAGAAAAGAAAAGGAAGACGTTTTGTCTCGTCGTGAACGATAAACGATATAAAAATATTTCGAGAAATATTAAGGAACTTCCTATTGCCGGGAGACAGCTTCCTCTCGAGTCTGCTGCTTATCTGCTCGAAAACGACCAAACGGATGCGCGTGCATGTAAACGAATTCCAGACATAAATTTACCGACTTCCGCTCTCCATTCAGCTGCAAAGAACGCCGAGACATCGGTATATTCGACGATACTTCCGGCAATTCTTGCGAACTCCCTCCTCCTTCCTTCGCGGCGTTTCGACGTGTATGATAATGCTATCAATGTCAGGTGAAAAATAACATTTGCCGCGAGTGCTCCTCCACGCTTGTGCCTCTGTCAGGCCATTTTTACGTTCCAATTTCAAGCGCGTATTTTCAGTTTATCGCGCAACGTTGTTGCGTAATTGCATACGCGCGCGTGATGCACGTTCCACCAAGGAACTGCCAGAGTGAAAGAAAATGAAAACAAGAGAAAAAGGAAAGAAACTAGAAGAAAGGAGAGAGTGGAAAGAGATGAAACGAACGAGGCACAATCGGAACAGAATGCGGCGTATCAGGAATGCCAGGAGATATGGCGAGAGGGGTTAATCGTGGCGGGGAGGAATCTTGTGCAATTAATCGAGGGAGGAGCACGTCGGATTTTAAGGACTCCTCCTGGTGCGTGAGGACCCACCGCGGGTTCCGTCTTGCGTTATTTATGTTGCTGGATCCACGGAGCTCGGGGGGTCCAGGAATGTCCACCGTTCTTCCAAAATGCGATTCGACCGTGACTATTAATTATTTCTGACCTGCTCTCGCGCCTAAGACAGTTCCTAAGACGCGAAGCTAGGAACTATCTTCGAATTACCAGCCAACTTGCCGCGGCGGGAATGTTTTTTTTATTTTTCTCTCGTTCAAAAGTCCCTCGTCCGGGACTTTGAAGCTGAAGTTTAAAATCTTTGGGAATCATAGTAAATGGTCGAGACCAATGGATCTCGGGAGGTGGGGGGAAATAAATCAAGACCAAGCGTGTTTCGCCGATACTTTATTCACCCAACCGTCTCAATCTACGCAAAATCGCAATTTTTCCACCGCGAGACCGTGCTGGTTCGTCTCTGTTTCACGAACCAGCGTCACGCTGCGCCAGAGACACCGGCGTATATATCTACGATCGCGTATATTCCAGTGGCATACGCGCACGCCTGGAATAATTAACGAGAAAACGGCAGAAAGAGGAAGAAGCCGGCAGGTAGAACACCGTCAGGTATCTTCCTCCCCGACTTCATCCGTCTTTCCTCCGCGATTTTCAATTCATTCGAACGCCGCCCCCTCCGAGTAGCTACCGGTCTTTTTCTTAATCCTGCCGTATGTCTCGAATTTTCATGCTTTAACCTCGTGCGTTTGTTTTAACAAACAGGAAAACTTTAATTTCTGATTTCTCGAATTGTAAAGTTTCAGGAAACATTGCTCAGTGTTAGGAAATTTGTCAAGAAGAGAGGAAATAACACGATTGCGTGCTAAAATCATTCGGAACGCGGAAAAGCTTCCAAAGATTATGACTCTGTTTCTCTGTTGAAGTATCGTTGCGTCGAATTGGCTTCGCGTCACGTATCGGGAGTCGTTATTTTCTGGCGAAAAAGTCGGCGAGATCGCGGATGCGAGGGAAAACAGGGAGGACAATGCGAAGGGAAAACGCGGACGAACGACAAAACAGCGTGGTAACATCGCGATTTATCCTCGCACACGGTTGATTTATAACGATGCGTATAGTCGTGCTACGGCACGACGTCTCGGGGCTTCTCATTTGTACGTACTTTCTCTCATTTGCGCTACGCGCAACCCACCGAAAAGAAGAAGGGAGAGAAAAAAAAAAATGAGTGGAGGAGAAAGAGGAGAACGGGCGAGTCGTGAGTGGCGCATGAATTATTCAACCGGTAGCTCTCGTTTGCCGCGCCGTTGATAATGATAATCGTGGATCCCCCGGTAATGATAACTGTTCGTCGATCTCGTTCGTTGTGGACGGATCACAATAATAACGGGGACACTAATCACACCATACGGTGGTATGGTGGTCAAACACCGTTTGATTAATTCCTAAGACGTCCTTAGACGTCGTTGTCAATTGCAGCAACGAGGAATGACACACTGGATATGTTCTTGACTTTATTTCTCTGAATAATAAGAGTCCCAGGAAGAGATGTTTGGATGTCGATCTCCGTACCTCCTCCACATATATCGATACCTGAAACAGACAATCGTAACGTACTCTCGTTACACAGTGTGATTACTCGTTGAAATTTACGAAATTGTGGAGAATCGAAATAGTTGAAATTAATGAACCCCTTATGGACCACCCTTGTGTCGTACATCTTTCGATGTTGTTTTCTTTTCAGTATTATTTTATATTACGTTTTTACCAATTTTATTAACAGCTCTACTATAGATATGTTATACCTATTCGTTGCTCTTTTTAAATGTAACTTCGTTTTACAAAGTTATGGATCATCTCGTGCCGTTTGTACCTCTTTCGCGACGTTTCAGAGTCTTGAAGAAAATGAAAAGAAGAAAAAGAAGAAAAAATGGATGGAATCGAAGCGGAAGAGGGGTCCAGGTAGATAGGAGGTGATCTGCACCGCGTCCACGTTGTACGGAGGAGCACGTCGCTGTAGGTAAAACGTACCTACGGCATCCTGCCCCCGTCCCTCTTCCTTTTTCCTGCCCCTCCTGCGGATCTGACCCACCGACGGTGGCAGTAGCGGCGTGCATAACAGGGTGGACGTTTAACATATGACCGGCTACCAGTGTTATTAATGCGCCGGTAGCGTCGTGCTCGGTTTCTTCCGAGCCCACGTACGGTGCCTACGATCCTGTGGCCGGGTTGGGGCCACCCGCGGCTCCTCCCTGCTCCACCAGGCCCCTCGATCGCGGGCTCACAGGCCCACAGGCCCACGGGATCCGAATGGGGTAGCCGAGGAAAGGGCACACACCGTAGCCGTAGACGTAACACGACACTCGGAAACTGCACCGCGACCACGTCGTCCTTCCTCTCATCCCTCAACGAGTTATGTCTTCCTGCTAGCCTCGGGTCTAATTAATATGTGTTCCAGAGACAATGTTCCTGTCTGGCGATACTGGTCAACGAAAGTACTCTCCCTGATCCCAGAAACGATCGGCGGATGATACTTTTCACTCTTACGAGTTAACACGATCGAATCAGTGTGCGACGTGTGGGAGAGTTTCACTTTGAATTCGAGGAAAGTATATTGAGATGATCGGATTAAGCGGTCAATAAATCGACAAACGATGAACGCGCCCTGTACAGATCGGCCTACGAATGGCTCGACCTTGTTTCGAGTCTCACGGAGTAGGAAGACGTCTTCATTGAACATTGTCACGGATGCCGCGTCGCGTGAGAAGAAAAGGGGAAAGGCGGGAGGGGAAGAAACACGAAAAATCGTACGAAAGGGAAGAAAAAAGTCTTCGTGGGTGTGCCTATTTGTTCGAAGATGGGCAGCCACGGTGATTCCCCTTCCGCCGAAGGAAACGTCCAGCGCGATCGTGCGAGCCTATAGGCAAATATCTCCCGCTCAGCCAGGACATTAGGAGTTCTCCTGCGTCTGGAGGATTATAAATCCTTAATACAGATCGGCACGCGATGCCCGGCTCGTTAGGGTGATGCATGGTCGACTCTGGTGTCCCGGGGTGTACGGTAGCCGATACCAACACACTGGTGCTTGAACATTCGAGAGGCTCGTTCCTGCGGGAACAGCTACACCCTCACACACTGGCAGCCACCAGGTAATAATGAGAGATCAGAGATACGGCCCGATATTAATTGTGCGCATCGAGTGTGGCGGTGCTGCTGCTGCTGCTGCTGTTGCTGCTGCTGCTGCTGCTGCTGCTGCTGCTACTTCCACTTCGGACTTGGGGAGAGAACTGACTGCTACCGGCTTACACCGATCCTTCGATGCGATATATGCGATATACGATACAGGATCGTGGACCTGATCCCGCTGGTGGCTCGTTCGCGAAAAGGCCATACATGCTGGAACCTCCCTGGTCCACCAGCTCGTGGACAGTTTTATCGCGAATTTATTTCCGATTCTTCTCTGGATAGGTCTCCTCGAACATTTCTAGACATTTTCTCACTTTATCGTGGAGACTTTTCCAATACAGCTGCTAGAATTACCGAAAATTAAAGTGTGAAAGTTGTATTAGAAAATTTGAAAGTACAAGGGTTGGGAAAAACTTTTACTGCCATTAAAATTTTTATGAAGAATTACAAAATGACCGTTTAGACCACTTTGGTGATTCTATAAATCAAAAGCAAAAGAGGGAGAAGAATAATGTTCGATTTTTAGCTTCTTTATAGAATCGCGTCGAGAACGTTCGGTCGCTCCGCAAGAATATTTCCTCCCTTATCGACGTAGGGCTACTTCGAAGATACGATCTCGAAACAAATGACGATCGCGGCTCGCGCTGTCCTGCCGTTTGCTCGTTCTTCGCAGCTGGATCAGAATAATCGCCGCCCGTTAGCGGTCCGAATGAGATCGCGTCTTTTTATTATAAATCGACGCGCGTATCGCTGTCCTCCCTCTTCTCTCGCCTCGCCGGTGTACGATGGAATCTGGTGTACGGTATTTATGTACTGGCTGTGTGTAATATGTAAGTTCCCTCGGAATTAAAGTTCCACGCCTTGGACTAATTTGCTTTGATAACGATCGAAGAGGATGCAAAGGATTTACGCAAGCAACGGATCCCCTTTCGTCGTCATTGGACAAACAAATGAATCATCCAAGACATTTCTCCGGCCAATTTTCCTAAAATTTGGCACGATTGTATCCTCGAAGGATCAATCGAAACTCTCGTTTCTCCCCCTTCGTCTAAGGGAAGTTTCCATCTTGCGAAAACTAGTCTAGCGTTCGTACAGCCACCATTTCCACGAGCGGAGCAACTTAACCCGAGCACCGTGTAAACTGGTTTAAGCCAGCGACCGCTAGAAGCTCGGGCGTAGTTTAGTAAAGCGCAGCCCGTCCCTCCGAAACTCTGCCGGAGTTTCAGCAGCGTCTCTTTTCCCCAGGAAACCGAGACGATTCTAATCCACGTGGCTAGAAAGGAACGCGAATCACGCGGGAACAAGAAAACGTATAGGGTCCTCGTAGCAAAGTGGTTGCAGGTGTATGTGCACATAGCTCTCTCTCTCTCTCTCTCTTTCTCTCTCTCGCGGATGGTCCGTTGCTCGTCTCAATCCGGATTACGGTAACACCTGGCCATCCGCAATTTTATCATCCTCCGTCCCGGAAGGATTCCAATTTTCTTCTCCCGTTACGCCAGCCCTCTTATCCAGAGGCTGGGCTCTGCCTCGTCGACCGCTTCTTCTGCTCGCTTCTTTCTTCTGCTTTTTTTTCCCTCTCTTCTCTCCACCGTCTCTGGGAGACTCAATCTGTGTCTCATCGTGGATTATTGGGATTTCCTCCCGGTGTGTGTGTGAGAAAGAGAGAGTGAGGAGAGAGGAACGAGGAGGAAGTTGGCTGGCTGCTTGCCTGGCTGCTTGACCGTCTGCGCCAAGGGAATCGGTTAGGAGAGTGAGAGAGAGAAAGAAAAAAAAGAAGAAAGAAAGAACTGGTTGACCAGAGCGCGAGCCTTTAATTCTTTTGCTCGTGAACCGTTCGACGGCCATTCCTGCTTCCAGTCGAAATAAGGAGCTCCGCTGATCGGTGATTTCGTCGAATTGTCCCGGGCTGACAATTTACGCTGGCGCTACCCGGTGCTCCGGTACTCTCCGCGGGTAAGTGGCACCGGGATCCTGCGATTTTTAAGTCTTCTTCTTCATCCTTCCTGTCTGCGTCTTCTTCCTCGAGGGGTTGGAGAGGAAGGGGGTACGGGAGAGACACGGAAGCGCCGATTGCAGGATTTTTAATTTCGTCTTGTTCTTTGGGTGGTCCACCCCGGCCTCTGATCGGTAATTGCGACGACTTCTTGGAAATGGTGAATTTGCAAGGAGCCGTCCCTAGGTGTCCTTTCCACATGCTTCGTCGGACGTTTAAATACACGAGTGGCAAATGAACGACCGGTGAAATCGCCTCCGTGAAAATAGAGAATTCAGAGTTGATTCGGATTATGTTATATCGAAAATAAAACGCTATTCATCCTTCTTACATTCTCTCTCTCTCTTTGATTTTACTCACTTCGTTCAAAGCTGGTTCAAAGTATTCCGTCTCCGGGAAACAGATTTATCGAAATGTCCTTATGAACGACTAATACGATTCGTTGCTCGGCGGTTGGTCGTGAACCTTCGAAAAGATCCTCTTACGTTGGAATGCGAAGAGACAGGCGCGGTCGAATGGCTGTACCCGCGAACCAAGAAGATCGCGGCCAAAGAAACACGATTCGATGGGAAGCGAAAAATAATGATCCCTTGGCCAGGAGATAATTAGCGTAAGGAGCTTATCACGCACAACAAGAGACGATGAGAATCAAGGAGAGACGACGGCCTTTGCGGTGATTCGCGTGGTTCAAAAGGGGCGCGGTTCGATCGAACTCCGCTCTCGTATCATTTCTCCCGGACCACGATCTACGAAATCGATCCGCGATGATTAATTCTCAATCGCGGCTTAATCACGTCAGCTGGTTAAGCGCGATTGAGGAGGAAACGTCCTCGGAATGGAGGTGAAAGGAGGAGGGCGCGATCTGCGTTGGAAGAAAATGGATGAGGCAAGAGAGGAAGAGATAGAACGATAGAGGAAAGAGAAAGTGTAAAAAAGAAAGGAGAAAGAGAAGGTGGAAGCCCGTGTCCCTACGGTTCTCGAATAGAAGGGACAACCCTCCTCGTCGGTTTTTCTCCTCTTTCTCCGGCAGCGGGATTGTGTCCAAGATGAAGGGGTCGCGAAGCCATGGAGGGCGGACGCAGGACACGATTGCCAGGAACACGTGATTAGATGGCCCTCCTTCCACATGATTCTCCAGATTGGACACCCGCCCGCCTGTGTCGCAGAGGGACGTAAAAAAATGCAATCGGCTCTTACTGTAATGAAAAAGAACCGTCTCTGGGTAATTCGAATGAACGATGGTGCCCCCCCCCCCCCCCCCCCCCCCCCCTCCCCGCGTGTCCGCGTACGTGTGCCTTCTTCTCTCAATGTTCGTGGATGCGCTCTGTTTTTTACCGTGAATGCGTTTGAACCCGAGGGTAAGGGTACGGGTACGGATACGTTGCCCCCTGGCGCTTGCTGCAATTGCAGCTGT